CGAGTACATTCCGACTAGCACCTTTGAAAATTATAAATGGTCAAATCTTAATTCTAGGTGGCGGTAGCCACCCCGGCCCAATCCTAAGAAACCCCCCCTAAAAAATGACGAGACCAAATGGAAAAAAAAAAAAATTAATTAACTAGGGGTTTACGCCGCCTGACAGCTTTGCGGTCCAACCTCTCGAAGCGCGTCTTGCCTCAGGCGTTATGCGTTACTCGTTACTCTTCATGATTTTATATCACAGAGTAAGATATAGTGAATAGGAAAAAAAGTGTTGGCAACAGAGCGGATTAATGCCAACGTGTCCATCATCGACGCAAACGAGAATGGAGAGAGCTTCACCTCAAAGGCAAACTGCGGCGTAACATGCGATGTTGGAACGTGTTTAGGGTCCAGCATCATACCTCGCCTTCCGAGTGAGATCCCGGCCGCCAAATATCGGCGAAAATCAATACAACGCCCATCTAATTACGACGAAATACTCGACTTTTAAGGGCAGATCCGACAACGGAGCGGGTCGTGCCTCGGCGCGCCGCATGCAGCGCTGGTTGCGGAACGCGAGATGTGCAGGCGCCTCGTGCTCTCCAGGTTGCCGGGCGCGAATATGAAGGCGGAAGATATTGATTATCAACTATTAAGAAATGAGATGAGGTCACCGGGGAAATCAAAGAGGTGTAAAATGAAAATGGGTACGGCAGGAGCATCACGTGTCGCGGCGATAAGTATCTAACATTCACAGCTCGGTGTTGGTATGTTTTACACGTGTTTCGTTAGTACTTTTTCCGGTTCTCTCGTCTCGTCCATATCCGGCTGTTGCCAAGTGTACGAGGAAAAGCCCGTCGCCCTTTTTCCTAGGTCTAGCCAGTAAGGAAATCGACTCTCGGTCGTGCGTCGTGATACTCAACGGAAGCCGTTGATGATGCCTCCATCGATCACTGAAAAAAAACACACACTGGATCTAGAGTCCAGACTCTTAAAAACATCGACAAGAAAAAGTTTTCTTGATTCAATCAGAATCTACCTTAAATCAAGAACCAAGCCTCCTAATTTAAGCGGATTTCGTTTTGATTCAAGCAAAAATCCGATTGAATCAAGAGTATTTTCTCTTGTCATTGTTTTCAAGAGTCTGGACTCCAAATCTAATGTTTTTTTTTTTTTTTTTTTTTTTTTTTTTTTTCCAGTGATGGCAATCAGAGTGATGTTGGGTTCCTTTCAACAATAATTCATCCTGTTTCCACTCATCTTACCCTTGCAGCCATCTCTTTTTCGAATCTGATTTTACGTGATATGTATTTTGCCGAATGTTTGATTGGTGCTTACGTCAAACTGCAAAGAAGCGATGATTCTTTGCACCTTCAATGTTGCTGTATAGGCAACATAGGCAACAAACATACCGGAGAACAAGAATAGTTATCCATTCGAAAATCGTACAATAATTTCGCTCCACAAACTTTACTGAACCAGTAGACTATGCTTCAACTTATCGGCAGATGTCGTCCACTTAAGATTCGCCTTCAATTTCGCCACATTGGCAACAAACAAAACTTGCAATACTTGTCTATTCACACATTCATATCGGTCCGTAAGCTTCGATTGAACCAATGAACGGTGTTGTTAATCCATTGGTAGGAATTATCTGTCTTAATTTCGCCTTCCTTTTCTCTGCATTGACAACCTAACAATCATACCGTATAGAAAGAATATAGTTATCTGTTCGAAAAACATACATTAATCTCGCTTTATAAACTTTGCGAAACCAATGGATGAGCCATTCGTAAAACTAACAACAGACATTGACTATTTTATGTTCGCCTTCAATTTCGCCACGTAGGCAACAAACATACTGAAGAGTACAAATAGTTATCTTTTCAAGAAACACACATTTAATCGCTTCTTGAACTTCGATTTTTTTTATTTGTTCGGTTCCCAAACAGCCCAGTGCAATAGCCTGCGATGGTTAATCATAATTAAATACTCCACTCCTCTATTGTCCTCACATTTCTCCTGATTGTCCTCATATTTGGACTGAGTTAAGCAGAAAGGAACCAACCCTCATTTTGGTAAAAATTGAGTTATGAGTGGTTTAAAACTCAACCACTGCTCTACTATCTATCGCCAAAAATTCAAAGTTTTTGTTGGAGCAAATTTTGCAGAAATTGAACTTGAAGTTTATCTTTGACATTGAGTCTTATGCAGGAGCCAAACTTTAAACCTCTTTTTCTCGGTTCGATCCCGATGTGGCTTGGTTCCTTTCTGTTTAACTCCATCCATTTCTCCTGTAAAGGTACTCCTGGAAAAATTGACGGTTTTCAGCAGGAGGTATCAGCAATTCGCCCCGATCAACTCCTCGCAATACCCCACCCCGTGACAAAAAATCATAGCTTCAAATTCTCCCGAAGATCATCGCCCTCCCCCCGGGAAAAGTTCAGTCAAGATTCCCCAGGTAATCAACTTTTTTCCAGCTGCGCTTCCCGCGGAAAGTTGGCCGACGCACCCGCACCCGTGCGGGATCGCGGCGCGTTGATTAGCCTCTTATCGTCGTCGCGGAGATAAACTAGTTGCGGAGCCGATTAAAAACCATTATCGTCGGGGGGTTGCCCGCGACAGCGCCGGCACCGCGCCGGCCCGGAAACTTTTATCCGGGAGCTGCGAAATCTGCCAAGAACTTTAATTTTAATGAAAAACGGGGGGGGGGGGGGGGGAGGTGGGATGGAATACTTACTTTCCCATCTGCCGAAGCCGTGGCCGGGGCCCGGGAAGTTTGCCGAAGAGGAGCGTCCCGCGGAAGTTATTAGACCTTTGACTCGGCCGGTGGTGGATCTCTAACTTGATTACGTCCCGACCGGAGTGCTGCCGGGCTGAGGAAGAACACCGTATGAGCCTCTGGATGTTGCCGAATTTCCTCTCGGAAAATGTTATTTTTGAAGGGAGTTATGAATATTTTCGTCCGAAATTTTTAGGAATTTTACACGGAGAGAAAAACCTCGTGCGTTGGACCCGAAGTTTAGGTCATATGGATCTCTGAAGTTTTCGGATTGAGCATCTGAACACTTAAGGTCTAGCTGCCGAAGTTCAGGTCTGACATTTGAAACTTCAGTTCTTACATCTGAAGTACTTCAGTTTTTACACCTGAAGTATTTCAGATGTGAGAACTGAAGTTTTTCGGATGTGAAAACCGAAGTACTTCAGATGTAAAAACTGAAGTTTCAGATGTGTGATCCGAACCTCGACAGCTAGACCTTAAGTGTTCAGATGCTCAATCTGAAAAATTCGGAGATCCATATGACCTAAACTTCGGGTCCCACGCACGAGGTTTTTTTCTCCGTGTAGGTCAGATTGCAGACAAAATTCTCTGAAAATTCGGAAGAAAAACGTTCTCACATTTTCACGAAAATTCCCGATTTGTCAAAGGGAATTTCTACCGTGCTAAGTAAGAACACCGTAAATCCGTCAAGATTTTTCTTCGTTTTTTTAGAACTTAACGCTTTATAAAACTAAAACTACTTTACCCGTACACCTCACATTTTCAGGTTAAGTTCTTGATAGTATTCGCGAAAGAATTCCGTAGAAACATTGTCCCAAGGTACACAAGTTTTTCTGCTATGACACATTGTTTCAAAGAAATGTGAAACGGCGTTTACGGCGATTTTGCGTTGCACGACAGATTTGGCTACGTGTGAAGGCCCGTACGGCGTTCTTCCTCAGCGCGGCGGAGTACCGGGCTCGACTTAATGGGCCGGAGGAGCCCTTCTTCCAGCCGGAGTTATGGGTCGCGCGAGGATTGAATATCGCTCCCCGACTCCCATGTATCTTCCGTCCTTAGCCTAATGTATTACCGCGGCCAATTAGATGGAATTCCACGGTGCCTACGGGGTGATCCATGGCTAAACGGCCGGATTGCAGGAGCCGATACACCCCTAAACTCCCTCTTCAAATTGAGCACTGGAAAAAAAAACACATTGGATCTAGAGTCCAGACTCTTGAAAACATCGGCAAGAAAAATACTCATGATTCAATCGGATTTAAACTTAAATCAAAAGGAAATCCGCTCAAATTAAGAGGCTGGGTTCTTGATTTAAGGTTAAATCCGATTGAATCAAGAGTATTTTTTCTTGTCGATGTTTTTAAGAGTCTGGACCCTAGATCCAATGTGTTTTTTTCCCAGTGAGTTTTCGATTTTTTTTTTTTTTTTTTTT